GTTACTTACTTACTTCTTACTTCTTCTTCTCTCTCTCTCTCTCTCTCTCTCTCTCTCTCTCTCTCTCTCTCTCTCTCTCTTTCTTTTCATCAGCGAGAGGGACGATATCGCGGACGATTTCCATGGAAGTTGGAAATGATTAAAAAACTTAGGGCTCCTAATGGGATGGTCGACGTTCTCCAGGATTTATCGATGGTGGCGAGTGCGTCATATTTTTCACCGGCTACGAAACTACTACCCGAGGAGGGGGGTATGTGTGTGTGTGTGTGTGCGTGGAGTGGGAAACTAGTTTGGATACAAATTTTTTCGCCCGTTTTTCGCTCGAGAGTTTCTCGACGAGCCCCGTTGGTTAACGATCCGAACGAAACGTCGGTGGCTTGGGGAAGGGGGGAAGAGGGATACTAGCACGCTCGTTTATACGCGCGTGCACGCGAGTTCCACCACTTTTTTCGCCCCCCTCCTCGTTGTCCTTTCAGAAAGAAAATCGCAACTCGGTTTTTTTTTCTTCAATTGCGTTCAAATTAACGAAAGTCTGGGCGAAATCTTATTAGAATTTAGGAATGGGAAAAAAGAAGCGGGAGCAAGAGTCCACGAAAGCGTGCAAAAAGCGCGCGGAGTTTTAATTTAGCCGGCGTGGAAAAACGTGTGCTCGGCCTCTGCTTTGACGCGGGCGTTATAAATCAGGGCCGGGTTGCCGGCCGGCAGAAGAACATCGAACGCGTTAAGAGGAGGAACGCGTTATGAACGATGAGTTATTTCAAGAGGAGGAAAATAGGGGGCAAGGTGGAAATCGAGCGTCCAGAGTTCGTACAAGGGCACTTTATGCACCGCGCGCGGTGGTGTTTCGAGGCGGATGAAAGATGGCCGTGTGCGCGCGTGTAGTATCCGTGGAAACAAACCCGGCCCACTAAATCCACGTGATTTCTTCGTTTCCAAGCCGGTGCGGTATCACGAGCCCGCCAGATTTACAGGAGACGTTACGTCGGCGCCAATGCTCGAAATAGCGCGAACCGTGCCGTTTCGACTAGCAACTATAAACCCGCTACCCCCTCTTCCACGCTTCTCTCGATATAGATTCGCGATCGAAATTTATAGGAATCGGAGCCGGCTCCCAGGAATTCCCCCGCGTCGTAATTACTTTCACGCGGAATCCGTCAGAAACCGGCCGTCGAAAAGTTAGCTTCCCTCTCTCGAAATTAGAGAGGAGGAGGAGGAGGAGGAGGAGGATCGATCGAGAGGTGCCGGAAAGAACGTTTTCTAACAGATCCCGCGTGATGACCAATGATTAATCGCGGCCAGTCCAACGAACGAGTTGGCTCTCTGAGATACGGCCCGCCCGTTGCACCGGCTCGAGTAACCCGAGCCCCTGTGACCTTAATTACTGCGTCCACTAATCGATCCCTCCCCGCATTGTGATCGCGCCATCCCCGACACCGGTACCAACGTAACCGCTCCGTGCTCAATGGTATCTTAATTGCCGCTCGGATAATCCGATTCAGCCACTTAATCGATTACGCGCCTCTATAGAGCTGTCGCACTCGCATTCACCGAATCTTGATGGAATTTCCCCATTTACCGATTAAGTAGAATACCGTTCCCGAGTGGCCGATCCGAACGGAGACAGGAGGGGAGGGACAAACACGCGGAGGATTCCCGAGACGGAGGGAATCCTCTCCGTCTCTCGCCGCTGCCACCATCGACGACAACGACGACTTCATTAAAATCACCGGGTCTCGTTCCTTTTTTCCAACGATATCCGACCGATTATCCGTGGAATGCCTCCTTCCTTTGGTCTCGGGTCCAAGATTATTCGCGATGGCAGCCGCGATACACGAGGAAAGAAGAAGAAGAAGAAGAAGAAGAAGATGAAGAGGAGGGCAAGAAACGCGTCATCGAGCCGAGGATTTTTTCACGGGCCCTTGAATAACGAGCCACGCATGGGAGGGGGCGGAGGGATGGAACCCTAAACTTGCCAGATAAGCATCGCAAAGTAGACGGTAGTCGAAGAAACTGCCGTTAATTAGCCAAAAAGTGAAGGCAGGATCTCTCTCCTCCTTTGCTTTTTTTCTTTTTTTTCTCGAAGGCACTACCGTGAATAAAGTACGCGTCCTCCTCTCCTTTCCACTCTCCCTGGGCTCCCCCCTCAGTCATCCCCCGTAACCATCCGTAACCATCGTATACGCACCGGAGGCCTCGCCCCCTCGTCGAGAGGAGAAGAACGAAGACGAGGGCCGAAAAGGGCCCCACGTCGCTCCTCCCCCCTTCTCGCCCCTGTTATCTCGCAACGCCTTGCGCTCGCCAACAACTCTTTCTCTCCATCCTCTTCCCTCCCGTTCTAACCCTCTTTTTCCCGAACTCCTCTCGTCCGATCCTAATCTCGATAATGACGCGTAATGGCTGCCGGCGTGAATGTAGCTCTTTGTCCGTTGCTGGTGTACCGCTCGTATATCTGTCCGGTGCGAGAGCCGCGCCATTTCACCCCGGCGAAACCCACGGGGGACGGCCGTTTCCAGCCTGTTTTTCTGCGTACGTGTTCTTCCTCTTCCTCTCCGGCCCTCGCATCCGGCCCGCCACCAATAGTTTCTAGGAAACTCACGTTTAATTGCTTTCTTCCAGACTGGACTGGAATGAATGCGCGCGTGTGCGTGTGTGTGTGTGGAGGGGCGGAGTCGATGATTCTTTTAATTCTCGCCGTACTTTCCTCCTTTTTCCTCCGTGAAGTAAGTTTACCCGGCGTGCCACTTTCTCATCCGCCTGTTGATGCGTTGTTGCAGATTATACGGTTATGAGAAGAAGAGTTCGATGACCAGTGGATAGCGGACCATCCATCGACGCCACCATGGACTACCTGCACACGTGCCTCATCTTCTATCTATTGATCCTCTGTCTCTGCGGAGGACGAACCATAGACATATGTGAGTATCGTACGGGATGGGACGGGATGGGATGTTCGAGAAATGGTTAACGATCCAGGCGTCTTGGATCGACGATGATTCTCGATTAACCGCAATTGGCGACCAGACAACGGTTTGAAACGGTAAAAAGTGAACTGAGCGCGCCCGTCTGTCGACCAACGAGAATCTTTTATCCGATAATTAAAACTAGCTAGAAGGCGATCGTGAGAAGCGCGTTGCTTTCTGCACGAGTGACAAACAATCCTCTGACATCGAACACCCCCAAGGTTGTATCGAGAGGTCTGACTCATGTTTATAATTCTATCTATTTCAAAATTTCGTGTTCTCCATCTTGTGTTCCTCGTTCGAAGGAACGAGACATCGTAAGAAGCAAAAAGGGAATTTTTAAACCCTTCCGCTATTATCACGAGTCTGACTCGTGATGAAGATTTCGGTCGAAACGCGAATAGCACGAGCGGAAAGATCAACGAAACCTAAACATCACGAGTGGGATTGGTGAATTTTTTCGAGGAAATCACGATTCTTATAATCTACGTTGCAAAGTGCCCTACCGCTTGAGCTAAATGATACGGGAAGAGGTTAACCAGCCGATTGATTCGAAACGAGTCAACCACCACGCGCTCCTCGTCTTCGATCCCCGCGTAAAAAGGCGGAAAATCGATTCCTCTTCGAAACACGCGTTTTACATCCAGAAGCCGTAATTCTTGGCGGCGGTAACACGCTCGACCCGTGTTAAAAACAGCGGTGAAACGGCGTAACCCTCGCGACACCCCCTCGCTTTCCATCCCATTGACCCCGGATACGAGGCGGCTCGTCAGGTGAACCCAAACAGGAAAGTATTTCGCAAAGTATCCCAAGACTCGCTTTCACGTACTCGGCCGCACGAGACGGTATTTATTTCGCACCCCACGAAACTCGAAAACTCCGTGAAGCGGGTTTCGAGGAGGAGAAGCGCGAGAGATGGATGATAGGGTCGGGCGTTTCGGTCTGGTTCCCCTCGCCCCGGGCCATACACTGCTGCTACACGTAACAGTTTTAGAAAGAAATAAATCTCTACGCCCGGTGGAATGTTTAATGGAGTGGGCGGGTTCGCGTTTTTGTCGCGAGGCGAGGCGTTCTTGCGAGGACTCGGCCGGAAGATTGAAATTTATCGCGACGCTCTAATGATGGGAATCGAGCGTCCAGATTTTTGAAGGATGAGCGCGAGTTAAGTGGTTGTGCGAGAGTGGTTTGCTCTCGGTTTATTGGAAAATGAGGAGAATATATATATATATATATACACGTATAGATATGGGGGAGCAATGAAATCAAGGGAGAATTCCATCACGCTCGAATCTCGCCGACCAAGCCTCGTCGCCGACCACCTCCCTCGAATTCAATCACGCCTCTAAACTTGGCCGCGGCATCGTCCTCCCCGCTCCCTTACGATCTTTGCCAGCAATAAAACGTTGGAGAAATACAGTAACCGCGGCGTTTGTTCCATTTCTGGCGGCTGAACAAGACCAGAGACGTTTCAACTCAAATTTAATAAGCGGTGAGGATCCATAATTCCAGCGAGGAGGACCGGAAACGATAAGTAACGATCGACTACGAAAATACGTATAAATAGGCGGCGGGCTCGACGAAAGCGGTCGGCTTTAGAGGAAGTACACGGGGATGGAGGAGGAAATTGTGGCGACGAGGGAAAGAGAGAGAGAGAGAGAGAGAGAGATCGGCCTCCTGCGGTGAGTGAACTTGTACGTCGAACCGCGTTGGTAAATTCGCGGTCGTGTTAAGCGGCCAGCCGGTGGCGAGGGCGAGGGCCGAGGAGGTGGAAAGGCTGGGGGCCAGTTAAAGCGCGCATAAATTGCAATGTTAATGTTGCCTGCGATACATAAACATGTTGTACGTCGGTTGGATTGCGGTCTGCGCGCGGACCGCGTAGCGCCAGCTTGCACACAGGCGCGTGCACGCACTCGCGTGGAGGTGGAGATGGAGG